TTAATATGGCTCTAAATATTTAAACTAACTCCTTTTTTACACTCAAAAAATATTGGGCCCTTTTTAAATATAAACTTCACAAATATATGCAGTATATCACACACAGTAAATTATGGTGGTATTTTATTTGTACTGAAATGTGATTTTATTTGTAGGTTAATAAATAAAGTTGCTTGGGGGTCAGAGCTAATAGCAAGCCATAGCAGAGCTGGGCGTTCATGGCGCACGCCTTTAATCCCAGCACTTGGTAGAAGAGCTGGGTAGATCTCTGTGTGGTCAAGGATACAGCCAGCATTGGAGACACATGCCTTTAATCTCAATACCATAGAAGACCTGGAGGGCTGTACATACAGGCAGTGACAAGGCAGTCATGTGTTTGGGTTTACAACCAATGAGAAGACAGAACAGAAAGACTATATAAAGACAAACACACAGGAAGTAGGTCTCTTTCGGAGAGGTAGGACCACCGCAGGAGGAAGGGTAAGGTTTTAGCTCTGAGCTCTGACCTCTTGGCTTTCTTCTTTACATTGGTTCTGTGTTTCTTATTTAATAAGACGGTTGGTTACATCTACAGTAAATTGTTATGCTAAGATCTTGAGATCAAATTAAATTGTATGTAATGTTAGAAAGAATTTGCCAATTACATGAAAGGTAGCAGCGCCTATGAGATGGGATGAGTCTACTTTTTCAGTGCTTCCACATACTTAGAATCACTATTTTTTTTTTGTTCCTCCCCATCCTCCGCTCTAACGGTCTGTCTGCCTTGCAGTGTTTGCTGAGCTCTGAGGGGGTGACAGATGTCTTATTAAGGGCCGAGCACTCAACACTTATTCTCAGCACCTTGATCAGTTTTGAGTCTGTATTACTGTGACTGACTCACTGCAAAAAGAAGCTTCTTTGCCCAATACTGAGGCAGCACTGTGTATGGCATACAGTTTAAAGGTCTGCAATGTGCATTTCCAGCTGGCCATCGAAGAAGGCTATAGCACTTTACAGCCCATGCTCCACTTTTTGGAACGACTTAGCCAGTACAAGACAGTTTTTCTTGTGGCAAGAAGAGTGGCTTGCTAGCATAAGCTTGCTTTGCAGTGGGGTATGAAGTCAGAACTAGAATCACTATTTTTATCACTCAAAACACTACTTAAACACTGTCATGAAACACAACACCAAAGACTTACCCTGTTTTATATTCATTGCCTAGAAATGCTCTGCTCAGTATTTATGGGAGACTAAACAAATTCTGAACAGAATTCTCTATATCATACTTGCATAGAAAGCTGAAATAAAGGTAAGAATCCAGATGGAAGTAAATTAGCCTGTGGAGACAGCTCAGTCAGACAAGTACCTATCACACAAGCACAAGGACTCGTCAGATCCCAGTATCCACATAAAAGCCAGGTACAGTGAGTACCTGGAAAGCCTCAGCACTAGAGAGGCAGAGACAGGAGGATCCCTGAGATTTGCTATCCATCTTGCCCAGTAGTGAGCTACAGGTTCAGGAAGAAACTGTCTCAAAAAATAAGGTAAAGAGCAATAGAGGAAGATACCCAAAATCAACTTATGGAATGCACATGTATCTGTAAATACACTCACAGCACATACAAATGGAAGATAAATTCTAAACACATTCAACAACAGAATCAAAGAGGTGCTGGGTAGACCCAGGAAGCAGGGGGAAGCACCATTGGGCTAGGATACCTTCACAATTTAGATTAATTCTAATATAGATTTTGGCAGCAACAAATACCATAACCGAAGCAAATAATTTTATTTCTTTTGATCTCAATTTCCTCATTTGTAAAATACAAGATAAGACTAAATAAAAATATATATGCTATGAGGATTATGAGAGGCAGCAAGGTCACTCATTCTGTACTAACAGAGCAGACAGGACCTACCACAGCAGATGTCATACCTCTCAAGCAAAGTGCATCATGACAGTGGAACACACAAACCCACAAAGAGAAATAGGTTACATCAACAGTAGTCACAGCGGGGCAAATGTGGTGCATGCCTGTAATCCAACTACTTCGGAGGTGGAAGCAAGAGGATCTAAGTTTGAGGCCAGTGTTCCTCTATGAGTTCAAAGCCAGTCTGAGCTAGAGAGAGAGAGAGAGAGAGAGAGAGAGAGAGAGAGTCTATTTTAAAAAATAAAATAAAAACCAGCCCCCAAACCACTAAAAATTACATACACACATTCTGTAAAATTCCTTAAATGGAAATTAATCACACATTTACTCACTCAAAAATACAGAAAGAGAATCCAGTTTTGCCAAAAGCAAAGGTAAAGAGACTTGAAGAGATGTAAACACAAAATTGACATTCCCTAGTAAAAATAACAATATAGATCATTCATGGAGCAAGCATATAAATGCACATATACACATCCACAGAGTGGAGAGAAACAATGAGTTGGGATATTGTTCAATGCTAGAGCAATTGCCTTGCATGCACTAGGCCCCAGGTTTGATCAACAGCACTGGGTGGAAGAGAGAGGTAGAAGAAGAGAGAAACATGCAGGGGCTTTCTCAAACATGAATAAACTTCAAAATCCAAAATGCTTGCCTTAAAAATAAATGACCTTTCTGCTTCAGGTAAGAAGCAGCAACAGGAATCAATTTTTAACTTCCTATTAGATTTAACACATCAACATCTGTAATATTTTTAATGTAAACTCTATTCTTAGTATTATACTAAATATTACACAAGGTAAGGAGAACAGAAAGGTTAAGATCTCTGCCCACAAGAAAATCTTCTCAATCTTATTTGCAAGTTAATATTAGAATATTATAAAGACACAGTAATATCCTTCCCAAGGAAGGAATCAGAATGAAAGTTCAACAATTCCAATTCCCATGTACATTTCAAGGTATCTTAAAGCTAAAGAAGTCTCATAAATAGATTTTTATAAATAAAACAGATCCAGATATACAGGAACAAACTACATCACCAAAGGCATTTCTAGAAAGGCAAGAGAAAGAGTGCCATGAATAGATAGCCTTACAGATAGGCATATTTTACAACAGAAAACAGAAATAACTGCTTAATCAAAATCATTAAGGTAAAAAAGACGACCACAAAAAGACTTGGAATTTTGAGCCAGGTGTGGTGGCACATGCCTTTAATCCCAGCATTTAGGAGGCAGAGACAGACAGATCTCTGTGAGTTCAAGGCCAGCCTGGTCTACAGGATAGCCAGGGCTACACAGAGAAACCCTGTCTCAAAACAAAAACAAAATAAACAAAAAAAGACTTAGAATTTCTACAAAATGAACACAAACACTAAAATTATTATGGATAAGAGAGAAAAATCAATTTGAGAGTTTCGAAGTTCAAGCTAAGTGACATTTCTATTGTTTGTGATTACAGATACAATCAGTGTTTGTCTACTAAGAGTGGCAGGACCATAAATGGCTATACATTGTCAACTAAATCTAAGAAAGTCCAATAACCCATTCAGTTCCACTTTCAAGCAGGCAATAAAATAGCTAAGTATAGTTTATAATCTATTTTTTTCTGTGCTATCTCAATGATTATATCCTAAAATCTCTTTAACATTAACTACTGAAACAATGTAATTCTAGCATTTCTCTCCTAATTCAAATTAGGTAATCTAAGTTCTGCACTGATTCTATTGCCTCATGATGGAATGATACAATACACTTTTTCTTTATAGCCCACCCCTTTCACATACATCTTTTTCATTTTAGATTTCAACAACACTACGAAGGAAAGCAAGAATTATTGTCATTTCATCAATAAAGGAGAGATTTAGGGAAATTAGATTACTGGTACAAAATTCACTACAAAGTACTTGAATTAAGAAAGAAACCCACATACTCTGACCTCATGTAATTTATATTCCACAGTGTCACACAAATGGAAATAAATTCCAAATCTTTAATTACATTTTAATTCTAATTGCAAATCTAAATCTAATTCTTTAAAGTCCATACCTTTCCCATTTCAAACTCTAATAAATACCACAGAAACTAAGAGCTAATGCAAACAGTAACGAGTCTTTAAAAGATCACCTGTACATCAGAACGTCCAGAAGAAAATGAATAACACATTTACCAACAGTTCAAATATAATAAAAACACTCTGAAGTCTGCTTCCTTTAATCTAATGAACTTATCCTACCACAGCACACACAATTCACTGACAGACAGCAAATGACATTAGCTCTCAATTATTCATACTACACGACTGAGAGGAAACATCAATGCGGAAGAATCCTGCCTTTTCTAGTTTTAACCTACTCTCGGCACTGTGGTACTCCAGCCTGGACTCCAGTCAAACAAAAACCACCCAGATGACATGACTGGAGAGGAAATGTCTAGGAAAGGCCTATGTATTAAGTCTCGGTCCCATGTTCAGGATGCTATTGGGTGATGGTGGCAACTCTGAGAGATGAAGCCTGGTTGGAGGAAGTTGGGTCAATGGTAGATAGTCTTCAAATTTCAAAGTGTTACCTGATCGCAGACTCTACCTCTCTTTGCTACTTGGCCACATGAAGTGAGCAGCTCACTCCTTCACACTGTCCTACCAATGCTGCCTCACCCAAGGGCCCAAACTCTCCGTCTACTGACTGTGGATGGAAACCTTTCCTATAAAATAAAGCTATAAGCTTATTAATTCAGACCTTCTGTCAGTGATTGAAAGCTATCATAATAATCAACTAAAATAAGTAAAATTATTAAAACTTTATTTCTAGGTTGTTTTTTGTTTAACCCGAAAATAATAATTTTATGACTATATAGACTGACACTGGAGCAGGAGGTATGCTCACAAACTTTGCAAAGAAAGGATTCCTAGTCAAGAAAATATAAAGACAACTGCTATGAACAAGGACAGATGGTCCCAAGAGGTGGGTTATTATAAATTGTATAAGGTAACTAAAGAGAAAATCTAGTACAACGTCTTCAATCCCCTATCATGCACATACACAGAGAGGTTTTCTTGCATCTGTATGACCCATGTGACACACACATGACTTACCTCATCCTGGACACCACTGGTAGTAGTCAACTTGCTCCCATCAGTGATTGTAATAATTATTGCTGGCTCCAAGAAAAAAGGGTTTCTTCCCTGAAGTCAAAACACAAACAGGTATTAAGGCTTAAATTCTCACTTAACTTTTTTTAGTTATAAAGCCAATTCTTAGAAGGTCCCCAATCCCCCTCAATGTATACCATCTCTTTTCATTTTTAAAACATTTTTATTGCATTTAATTTACTTTGTGTGTGTACTAGAATGCCGTAAGGCGTGTGTGGAGACTGAAGGACAACTTAGTCTGTTCTCTCTTACTATGTGGGACCTGAGAGTCAGGCTCAGCAATCAAGTACCTTTTTATTATCCATTAAGGCATCTCACTAAACCCTATCTCTCCTACTAGTAAAATTTACAGAACATATACCTGTTTGCACATTTAAAACAAACTTTTGCCGGGTGGTGGTGGCGCACGCCTTTATTCCCAGCACTTGGGAGGCAGAGCCAGGCGGATCTCTGTGAGTTCAAGGCCAGCCTGGGCTGCCAAGTGAGTTCCAGGAAAGGTGCAAAGCTACACAGAGAAACCCTGTCGGGGTGGGGGTGGGGGGTGGTACCAAACTTTTTAGGATACTAATATATATGTAACCACTAATATTGGTTAGCACTAATTAGATATAAAGATGGATTTCTCATTTCTTTATATGTTCTTATGTTTTGACTTATACAGTGTACATTTATATTTATGTATATATAAGTACATTATGTACTTATAAAGTATTTCTTTGTTTTTTCCAATTCAAGATTTTATGCCAGGTGATGGTGGTGCATGCCTTTAATCCCAGTACTCAGGAGGCAGAGGCAGGAGGATCAGTTTGAGGTCAGCCTACAGTCTACAGAGCAAGTTCCAGGACAGTCAAGGCTATACACAGAAACCATCTCAAAAGGAAAAAAAAAAAAAAGGATTTTATACTAAGTGTGTGAGTGTTTGACCTGCATGCATGCATGTGTACTATGTATGTGGTTGGTGCCACAGAGGTCAAAGGAAGACAAAAGACAATTCAGATAGATGCCCTGGAACTGAAGTTATGGACAATTGTGAGCCACCCAAAGTGGGTGCTGGGAACTGAACCCTAGCCATCTGGAAGAGCAGCACATGTTCTTAACCACCGAGCCGTTTCTCCAGCCCCAGTATTTAATTTTTTAAATGGTGCCCCAACAGTTGAATTTTGGTAATGGGATTTTTCAGGAGCTATCTTAGCCAGGTACCCGCCTTTAATTCCAGCACCTGGGAGGCAGAGGCAGGCGGCTCTCTGAGAGTTCGAGGCCAGGTTGGTTTACAAAGCAAGCTCTTGGGACAGCCAGGGCTGTTATAGAAGAAACCCTGTCTTAAAAACCCAAAGATCACTCACTTCCTAGTGATCTTTGGCTAAGACTGAGTATGGTACAAACTGCAAGCCAGTACTAATGGAAAATGGTGGTACACACCTGTGTTCCCAGCACATGGGAAGTTCAAGGAGGATCATGAATTTGGGACCAGGCTGTATAACAAGGCAGGACCATCTCAAAATACAAAACAGCAGTCTAAAAGCTAAGTGCAATGGCACACAACTCAAATCTAGCACCATGGAACTGACTCAGGAAGAAAGTGACTTCCAGGGCTGCGCAGAAAGCAGCAGTCACTGTCCTGCTCCACCTGTCCTCCTCCTTACCGGTCGGGGAAAAGGACAATATTTTAAGGAGAAGTTTATTCTTGAAGAAGAAAGTAAGACGGTAGATAACCATTATCAAAATCACCTGTAATCACAATGTCTAAGCAAGTGACAAGGAACATGGATAGGACTACAAAAACTAATTTCACAATATTAGGGTTACCCTCAGATTAGAAAAACTAACAGGAGTCTAAGACAAAGAGTTAAAAATTAACAAGTACCTAAAAGTAAATGCTTGGACAATGAGGGTCAAGAACAAAATGACATGCTGCTATCAAATGTTTTCTGTAAGGTCAAACTACTTCAGCCATCTTCCATTCAAATTCTGACCTAGCACTAGGTTATGCTGATCAGTTCAAGGGAATAAATTCTAGGAAAGAAAACACAACCTTGCCTTTTTATACAAATGGTTCCCAGTTGCCAACTAAGCAAATTCACTATTAACCCTTTAATTTCTTTTATTACCTGAGCTTTTTGTTGTTGTTAATTTGGTGGTGAAGGAGACACATGCCACAGCATATATGTGCTAAGTCAGAGGACAACTTTAGGAGTCCATTCTCTCCTTCCATCATGTGTCAGGTAATCAGACTTGGGGAAAAGTGCCTTTACTACTAAACCATCTCTCCAACCCTCCATATTACCTTGTTTAAAAAAAAAAAAGGCAGGGGCTGGGGAGATGGTTCAGTCAGTACAAGCACACAAACATGAGGACCGGTTTGAATCCCACTGCCCATGTATAAACCCAGGCCCAATGGTGCACATTTGTAAGCCCAGTCATGGCAGGAGAAACCAAAGACAAACAAGTCTCTGAAGCTCACTGAGCAGCCAACCTAGCTGAAATCAATGAGTTCCAGGTTCAATGAGACCCTGTCTCAAAATAGGGAACACCTCTAACATTAATCAATGGCCTCTACACATGTACACACACCACACATACAATGAATAATAGTAAGACAAAAGATAGAAATTTCAAGTAGGTAAAACTTGTTTGAAGCTGCAGATGAGCATGATGCATATGCTTACAGTCTCTACAACTCACGAGACTGAAGCAGAATTCAAGGCTAAACTGAGCAACACGTTAAGACCCTCATCTCAAAAAAGAAAAAGGAGGGAAATTCAAATAGATTAAATTCTCTGCTATCATCAGCAGCAAAAATGGAGTGAAGTTTTATTGAATTTGATGTATATCAATATATGACAAAGTTTAATGATTATAGGAATCACTTGGACATCTTGGTAAACTGTAGTCATTCAGTGCTTTAACAAGACCACAGGCTGGGAGATACTACTGTCTACAGCCCACACCTACAAAGTAAGGTACACGGTTATATGCACAAACCATCTGCAGTTTATTCCCTTTCCTTCATATTTACTACTCTTAATTCTTACCAGAGTAACGCACACACTATCTGCTGAATGAACTTACAGTTACAGAAATTATATGATTATAATCTAATCACCATAAAGGAGATCTGCTAGATAAAGTATTTTGATAAGTCATGCCAACTTGTAAATAGCACATATACTTCTCAAATTGATATCAAAGGAATAAAAATAGTTCCCAAAAGTGAAATCTTGAATTGACTGAAAGAAAACCTTTGGATATAACTTGCAGATTCCCAGTACACACAATAAACAAGCTAGTCAGTCATGTTCACACCTGTAATTCCAACACTGAGGAGACAAAAACAAGATGCTCTCTTGGGCTTGCTGGCTATCTAGTCACATAGATGAACTCTAGATTTACTGAGAGACTCTGTCTCAAAGAAATACAGTGAAGAAGCAACTGGGAATGACACTGGCCTCTGATCTCCACATCCACACCCAGAGAGACAGAGACAGCAGAAAGATTGAGAGAGACAAGAGAAACACAAAGAGATATTGATTCTAAATGCAAAACAGCATTGAAATGTCTCAGGACCCTTATAGAAAGAAAACATAATTACTAACCTCCCTTTTCATGTTAGAACACATTTTGGAACCATTACATTCTATGGCTTCTAGTACAGTCACACTAAAAGTCAATCCTAAATTCTAAAATGTGGAAGTTTTCCCACAAAGCCAGATATTGGCAATGTCACTCCCACCTGAGTTTTGTCTCTCTCAAGTAAATGCTTGTTATATTCCTTATTGAAAACCTCTCCTATTTCTACTCATTCCAAAGACCCAGTCGAAATCTCTGTTCTCCCATGAAGTCTTCCTTATCACTAAGGCTGTCAGGAGCCAAACCTTCCACTCTAAAATTCTAACAATAAGATTTTTCAAGCTTTATATTAAGGTAAATGTTCCTTCAAATAAACCTGAGGTTTCCAGTGGTTTCGTGGAGCACATTTAAAGTCAAGCAGTTGCCTACCTGTGGGACCCTTGAGGTAGTAGGCTTGAGCCCATACAATGTATTAGGGGGTAGCCTGAACAACACAGCAAGGTGTCTCAACAAAGAATAAATAACAATGATATATATCATTTTCACAACAATGAAAACATACTTAACACTGCTGTACTGTAGATTAAAAATAAATTATGAGCCCCGAGGAGATGGCTCAGCAAGTAAAAGCCAAGCCTGACAAACTGAGTTCAATCTCCAGGATCCACATGGTAGAAAGATTTCCAGAAAGTTGTTCCTGATCTCCACAGGGCATGTCATGGCATGTGTGTGTAAGCACAAGTGTGTGTGTACACACCCAGAGTCAACACAATTTTTTAAAAAACATTTTAATAATTAAGATACTAAACTTTATGCTGGGTTTTTATCATGATTAAAAAATACCATCTAGTTGGAAACAAGAGAAATAGCCCAGATGTTAAAAGTACTTGCTGCTCTTGCATAGGACCTGGGTTCAGTTCCCAGCACCTGCATGGTGGCTCACAATCTGTAATTCTAGTTTCAGGAGATCTGATGCCTTCTTCTGGGCTCTCTGAAAACAAGGCATGCACATGGTGCACACACTTAAATGCAAGCAAAACATTCATACATATAAAATACATAAATCTTTAAAAATAATATTTGGTGCCTGTCCTGGATCTCGCTCTGTAGACCAGGCTGGCCTCAAACTCGCAGAGTTCCACTTGGCTCTGCCTCCCTAGTGCTGGGATTAAAGGTGTGCACCACTGCCCACCTTTTTAGTTTCATTCTTATTCTTACATAAGCACAATGAAAATTAGGTTTTGATGCCAGAGAATTGGTCAAAATTTTAATTAAGTAGCAAAACGCTATTGAATTAGGACCCTTGTATATGATGAAGCTCACCCCAAAAATAATACAGTTGACCTTTTTCCTTAGGTTCTACATCTATGGATTCAACTACTATAAATCTTAAAAATGTTCAGAAAAGAAAAACTGTCTATACTGCAAATGTTGTCTTGTTTTTCTGACTATTCCCTAAGCATAGC